AATTCGACCCATTTCGTGAAAGTGTCAAAGAAGACGAGCAGCATCGTGTTTCCTTTCTTTGATCGAGGTAGTGGTCCAACGAAGTCAGCGCATAGTATAGCGAATGGCTCTTCGGCTTTGCGAGTGAGCATCTGGCCCACCTGCTTGCGTTGTTTTTTAACTTTGAACTTCTGGGAGCTTATTTCCTCACGTCCCGGTAGAAACCTGGCCAATAGTACCGTTGGGATATTCGGGTGATGGTTTTCCTGACCCCTAGGTGGCCGGCTGTGGGTTGGTCGTGGCATTCGTGAAGTATTCTGGCTCGTTGATCTTTTGCTGCGCAGAGTTTCTATGCTATAAAGTCGTCGTCGTCGGCGCCATGGCCCAGATGTCTATATATTGTAACAAACCATGGATCCCATGGTTCGTCACAAGCAGACGACGCAGCCAACGCTACTCCCAGGTGAAACGATCAACACCCAGCAAAAATGCAAACTCAGCACACGCCAAAAGACAGGAGACCAGCACAAGGGGCTTACGCAATAGGTACCTAAAATAATATTAAATAAATAAATATCCCTAACAATATATATTCCAGAAGCGCCAACCAAATTCCTTTCCCACGGTACCGGTGCACACCGATCACCTTACCTGGGACATTGGACTCTTGTTGGGAGCCGATCTTTTTTCCCGTTTTTCCCAATAAAGTCCTCGTGAATTATAAATAACTTGTAATTCAGGACCCTGGACAGACTGATGCATACCTCAGCCTGAGATAGGACATTACAAGTGGCGCCCGAGCAGGGACCTTAAAGGATTTTTTAGTGGAAACTTCAAGAAAACCGAAATCAGGGACTTCGTGGATTAAAGACCCACTACCATCAAAAAGAAAATTGAATCAATAACAAGTCCGCGCACTTACATAATCCGGGCGCGAAAACAAACGCGAAAGTATACGCAGTGCCGATCCTAAAAGTGCCGTTTAACAGTGACTTATTGCCAAAAATCAACAGAAATCAACATGGAACATCACGACGATGAACAACCAGAGGAGGCATACCCTGCGGGACACTTTTCCAATCCAGGGGTCAGCACCGGCTGGATCCACAAACTCCGTCGGGACGAACTAGAAGTCCTTGCCAAAGAATTCGGATTCGGCAGCAAAGGAACGGTCGATGAACGCCGAAGGAAATTTGCCGCTCTAGTCGCCGGGCCACTCGCGCAAGAAGCCTGGGTCCGCTTACGAGAGTTCGAGAGGCACTATGCTAAGCCAGCCTCACGCTCTCGTTCCAAGTCACCACTGCCCACTACTCCTGGACCATCCGACACTCGCCAAATGGATCCTAAGACCGGACTACGAGTCCCCGCAGCCACCGAATACCGCACTCCTGCCGCCCCGTTTCCAAGGCCCCTAGCTACAGAGACCCACCCAGCACCCGTACCGAGGGTCTTGCCAACGATCGACCGACCCATGGAAGGGCACCACTACAACCACGCTGCACCAATGGCGGAACGCATCCGGAAGTGGGGAATCCAGTTTGACGGCCAAGATGACCCTCTATCATTCATCGAACTGCTCGAAGAACGCGCGCTCTCGTATGGGGTGCAAGTCGTTGGTTCCGCACCAGCCACCTACAAAGTTCCTCATGAGAAAATTTCCGCCAGAAATTCTTAACGTTCTTCTTGCCACCACGGTATTTTGAACAATTGGAAGACCAGATCCGAGCTCGCAAGCAAGTGGCGGGGGAACTGTTCAAAGATTTCCTCATCGAGATACGTCTACTCTTGCACCACGCCAGGTACGACGCAGCCAAGGAACTGAACAGGATCTACGACAACGCGCTGCCAGCATATCAGATGTACGTGCGCCGACACGAACTACAAAGCTTAGCACAGCTCACACTGTTGGCCACAGAGTTCGAGAGCATTCAAGAGCGGACCATTCCGACCACTTTCGCACCCCCGCGGAACACGCCAAGATACCCAAGGCCGGCCACCGAGCCAAGGAACGGCCACCTCACTGGGAGGCGGCAGACTCGCCAAGGAGGCAGCAAGCCCCCTCCAGCAGCCAGACAACGCCCGAGGGGAATCACGACCCCTATCGCAAACCCACGCGCAGCCTGTCGCCGGTGTGGTGAAGCGGGGCATGTGGCATACGACTGCCATAATCCCTCCATCCTATTCTGCTGGGAATGTGGCAAACGCGGCACACGGAACACGCATCCCAAACAAACCACGAGGATCTCACACACGAGACAAACACACTTGAACCCGGCGCTCGACACAGGAAGCCCAGATCGAAGAAAAGCAACATAGCAAGCACGCACAGAATCCGCAACGGAAGACCACCAGCATCGAACAAGGACAACGGCAGCCACCATCCGACAGCCCAGCAACACGGGAAACAGCCACGCTAACCCCACGCTGTTCGGTTCCCATAATTGAACTGATATCCACAGAGCCCCTCAACGCGGGCCCAGAAACCAGCACGATGCCCCCACGATACACCGACAGCTGCCCTGTCGTACCCACACCGATCCTCGCCCACACAATGGAGTACCTTCCGCGTACCGACATGATTCTTAGCGTCATGCACCGAGCCATGCCTAGAGCCATGTCCGAGATCTTCGTCGCCCATACAAGTCGTTGTTGTGATACCAGAGGCGTCATCGCGACTCACCTGTTCACGTACCAGTCTGGCTGTAGTATACCACGAGTACTACACCCGGCATACCAAAATATCGTACCCATGGTCGACACCACTCCCATCGTCGCCCACATAAGCGACTACCAACGGAGGATCGAAACGCACAGCTCCTTCGACACAACCCTCTTACCCGAAGACCCCAGCCAGCCATTTGACTCCGAAGCCGCCGATCCAACCGAACATGAGCCCGAACTAGTCCCGGAGCCGTGGCCGCCGGACTTGGCCCGCAGACCCAAGCATCCGTCGCCCAATCAAGCCATTGGTCCAACAAAAGAGACATCGTCGAGACCAGCCAGTTCATGCACCAGTCTGGAGACAATACCACCCAAGTGTTCCGCCAGAGCTACAAAACTACTCTACCCACGTCCAACGTCTCCCCGATCATCGCCCACATAAGCGATTACCACCGGAGCATCGATCCGTCAAGCACATTTGACAAACCCATCGTTACGAAAAACCCGAATCAAACCTTTGACCCCGGAGCCACCGAACCCACCGAAGACGACCCTGAACTACCGACGGATCCTTGGCCACCCGACATAGCACCGCAGATTCGAGAATGCCTGGACAAACAACTACCAAAGAACTACACCAACTACAAAGCACCCAGAACAGCAGAAAGGCCACGATCACAACAGCAGTAGAAAATATAACGTTACCGATGCCACGCTAAAGTGACCAGATTAACAACGACGAATCCGGAGACTCGGCACAAGCCAAAGGATAGGATAACCCGGAAAAAGGCGAACTTCAGCACCCGGCAAGCGACGCCACAAATCTCTCCATCACCCACCCGGAAGAAAGGTGGTGGTGGTGGTGGTGGTGGGGGGGGGGGGGTGAATTCCTTTCCCACGGTACCGGTGCACACCGATCACCTTACCTGGGACATTGTACACTTGTTGGGATGCCATTGCTTAGGTAACCCTCGGTTACCGGGCAAACCCCTCACATGCGCGAGCCAGTCAGCAGTCTCCGACTTTCCTTACCGGGAATATTGGACACTGACTGCAGGGCTAATGATTAGGTAACCTTCTGTTACCGATCAGCCCGTCTGCACGCGCAGACTATAATTCGGCAATATATATTTATGTAAGAACCCTTCCCACATTCTGGAGTAGAAATAAGATATCTGTAAGCTATTCATGGAAAAATCGAAGGCCGGCCGATCTATAAAAGGCACTGCCTTGCATGAAGAGCAGGCAGTCAATCAGCCATCGCAGGCAGCGAGTCCACCATGTAATGTACCAAACCCCTCTATGCATATAGCACAGTGCAGACCGTAGCGTGAGGCCGGTCTTAACGTTGGACGTTCCCTGAGTATCCTGTTGGCAGTGAAGAAGGTCGATGGGACACAACTAGCAAAACAGCCTGTGGGGGGGTTCTTGACCCATTCCATCTCCAACCTCAGAGTACACATTTAATAATGTCCCTTGCCTTAATGTTTACTTTCATCGATCAACGCAATGCAAAGTGCAACGCGACTCACAACGAATGAAAAATGATTAACTTTGAACCAGACTCTACTCTCTTCAATTTCTCACTAATACACCCATTCCACTGAGATGTGTGGACCGTGAGTCTGCTTGATGGTATGCAGTAACGCGTCTCAACCCTCCCGACCATTGAGCTTTTCTGCGCGCAATAAATATTTGAAAAAACTCCCAAAAACGATATCTCTTCTCTCTCTTCTTCTTCACATTACTTCAAGGAAATATTAATTATTTTATTTACTCCATAATTTTTACACAAAACTTAATACTTGAAACCATTACCTTTAATCTTCATAACTCATTTAATAAGCCAACACCACTTAAATACTTCATAATAATATTCTTTTGCTTTCATAACTAGACTTTTATACCCTATTTTCATTATTATTGCTCAAACAATTCCTTTGATAAATTCTATTCTTACTAATTTTTAATCTCGTTGCTTTTGCTCATATTCACTTTCACATATACAACCGCTGAAAAGAAGTTTTAATTAAATAATAACATAATATATAAAAACTAATAAGAATATAGAAAAATCAATTCAATGCAAATATATCATAAGGGGTTAAGGTTTTCTTGTATCAAAGTGAAACCAATAAAACGAGGAAAGTCAGCAAACGCAAAATCAAAACAAACACGCAAAAAATCGGTGCAGGTGCTTTGCGGATTGCATCGTTATCTCTGTTAACTCTCTTTCTTCACCTCTTCTTTCGATCGCACACTCTATCTCACAGAGACGGGTATGTCGGTTTCCACGCTTTCTTTTACATGGTTAATTTCTTTTGGTTTTTTTTTTGGTTGTTTTTATTCGGTCTGTTGGACTCACCCAGATTTATCGTAGAAGGCCTTCTAGAAGATCGGTTTGATTTTTTTTTTTTTTATTGATTTTAGGTAATTAGTTTGGGGTGATAGAGCATTACAAGTCTCGCTTCACTGGGTTATTTTCACTCTGCCTTTTCACTCACTTTGCATGTCTTAGTTACTTTACACTTTATTCTTTTGTCCGGTTGTACATGTGTTGGTGATCTTGAACGTGCCTATTCGTTTACATGTCTTCTTTTTGATGTAATTGCGAATTTCTTTTACTCAACCCTAAATTTTCACTAATTCACTAATTGCTGCTGCTTCGCCTTCTTCTGCTTGTCTCCGGTATTCCGTTTTCCAAACGTTCTGCTCCGGTCGTTAACCCTGCTCTCCCGCTAATGTCAATCGAACAAACTCAGACTGCGCATATGTAACGTTGCTGCGGCTGCTGGTCTGCCAAAGAAAGTTGCGTCGGGGAGCTCGGCCCTTTCCACGGGTTCTTCTGCCCCTGACTTGACCCTGATCTGGTCTATGAGGAGAGGTTAGGTCAGAAAATTGTCTTGGACTATAAAAACCCCTTATTTCTCACCTTTTTCTTTATTTTCCTTCGCTATGTTTTTGTTGGGCACAGCAATGTTTTAAAAGCGCCTGCTTTGAACCAAAATCTGTTCTGGAATACAGTCTTATAAATTCCATGTGACTCCCTACAATCTTCCACGAAATATTTACCTGGCCGAACTATAGACCACTTTCAAAACAATTCTTTTCGAAGATTTATTTAAAATTCCCACGGATGCCTTAAATATTTCGAGATTGCTCTTTGAATATTTAGGACTTATACTATTAGCCTGGGTTAAGCGCGTAATTTAATTTCGATACGAAAAATTAGGTCTGGTCAGTTACGCTGGTACGATCAAATAGGAAGAGAAAATTCGCTGAGCTCGACAAGAACCTATTCTCGCTCCACTCAAAACGATCGAGTTTACGAGCTTTCTTCCCAGCTGACTGTGTTGTGAAACTCGCGAGTGTATCTCCTAACGTAATGAGCTTAAATTTCCCGCCAAATCGATAACAATTTATACGAATTCTACGAAAAATTAAAAACCAAATTTTTCTCTTTTTTTTTTTTTTTTGAGAACCATGCACAGCACACCACAGGGTAATCAGCCATGTTTTACATAGGGCAGATTAACCTGAAATCTGTTATTGCCTTATGTCTTTCGCATGCACCTTTCCTATTAAATTGCCTTTTAAGTCTTCTAAGACATAAGTAGAATTTCCAACCTTTTCTCGCACTCGAGCTTTAACAAATGATGGACACAATTTGCTTGCGATATTTTTCTCAAAATTACTTTGTACAAAGTTTCTTCTAAAAACTTCTTGTCCTACATGATAACGAACTTCCTTAGCACGTAGGTTATACTGCTTTGCCTGTTTTTCATAAGCGTTTGTAATATTTCTCTTAATCCCGGTTCTTAATAAAGCCAATTTATCTTCTCTCTTAAGAGGATGTACGGACTCTTCTAGAAGATTTAATTTTCGTAATAGTTCATATTCGGATCCATGTGTTATCATTTCCATGCCGTAGATCGCTCGGTAAGGTGAAACTTTAATGCTCTGATGTAGAGAGTTCCTTAACGCACAACTAATTGCAGCCACATTCTTGTCCCAATCTCTCTGATCTTCTTTCAAATATGCTCGAATCGCCGAAATGATAGACCTGTTCACGCGTTCAGATGCGTTTGCTTGGGGAGAATAAATAGCGGTCAGCATGTGTCTGATCTGTAATGATTTTAAAAAACTTTCAAACTCTTTTGCTCTGAATTGTACTCCATTATCACTTATCACAATTTCTGGAACGCCATACGCAAAGAAAATCTCATTTTGCAAATACGAAATAATACTAGAAGTAGTAAATTTTCGTAGTGGACATAACCAATGGAACTTGGAAAAGTGATCCAACACTATAAGTAAGCCTATAAATCCACTTTTGCTTCTGGGGTATGGTCCTAACAAATCTATATAGAGTCTCTGAAATGGTCTAGTAGATTCTGCCTGCTTTCCCATTGGTGGTCGCAGAATTATGTTCGGTGCTTTGGTTGTTTTGCACACTTCGCAATTTCGAACATAATCGCGAATTTGTTGAACCATTCCTGGCCAATAAAACTGTCTCCTAATCAAATCCAAAGTTTTCCCCATCCCTCCATGAGCTGCTACAACACAGTCATGAGCTCTTGAGATCACCTCCTTGGTTAAACTCTGTGGTATCCAAAGTTTCCAAACCTGATCTTGCAAATCTTCCGTTCCTTCATCCTTTTCGGTACGTAAATAAAGCAATCCTTCTTCAACTTTCATGTCTGGGTATTTACACTGATCTCCCGTCACCCTAGCTTGTGTAGATAGATACTCTGCATCCTTGAAATTCTTTGCTTTTAAATCAATTAACGGTCCTATTCCTTCAACTATCGATACTTCGTTTTCATATAACCTCGACAAGGCATCTGGTACGACGTGATCCTTTCCTTTACGATGGCTAATAGAAAATCGATACCCTTGCAATTGCATCGCCCATCTAGCAAGTCTACCTTTAAGATTCGCTTGTCTCATTAGCCAAATAAGACTAGCATGATCCGTAATCACTTCAAAGTTCTGAAGCTCTAGATAACATCTAAACTTTTCAATCGCTAGCAACGCCGCAAGACATTCTCGTTCTGTTACACTGTAGTTCCGTTGTGCGGTATTCAGTTTCTTACTCATATACGCGATAGGTCTTTCCTCATCATTATTTCCTCGTTGAGTCAAAACTGCCCCCTACCCCAAAGTCACTCGCATCACAATGTAAATAAAACTTCTGTGAAAAGTCTGGATTCTGTAAGACCGGTGCTGATGTTAGTACGGTCTTCACTTTTTCAAAAGCCTGTTGAGCTTCCTCTGTCCATTGAAATTTCCGTTTGTTTGAAATTAATTGTGTGATTGGGAAAGTCAAATCCGAAAAATTTGGAATAAATCTTCGATACCATCCAGCAAGTCCGAGAAATCCCCTAACTTGTCGTAATGTTTTTGGCACTGGCCATGACATAATAGCTTCGATTTTCCCCAAATCTGTGGCAATACCTCCACCTCCAATCACGTATCCCAAATATCTAGTTTGAGTAACACAGAATTTACTTTTCGCAATGTTTAACGTCAAATTAGCTCGACGAAATTGTTCTGAAATCCGCTTGAGCACCTCCAAATGAGAATCAAATGTATCTGATACTACAACCAAATCGTCCAGGTAACCAAAAACGCAATGTTTTAAATCTGGTGGAATTAGCTCATCCATTAATCTGCACATTGTCTGTGGTGCGTTGCATAACCCAAAAGGCATAACTTTAAATTGATAAAGAGGACGTCCGGGAATAGTAAAAGCCGTAATCGGACGTGCTGCTTCTGACAACTTAATCTGCCAAAAGGCATCTTTCAGGTCCAACTTTGTAATGATATTTGCCTTGGGCATTCTCGAAAATATTCCCTCAATATTGGGTAAAGGATATGCGTCCTTTTCAGTAACTGCATTGATTTTTCTCGCATCCAAACAAAGCCTTACTTTGCCTGGTTTTATGACCATGCGCATTGGAGAACTCCACGGACTCGAAGAGACTTCAATGACGTCCATAGCTAACATGCGATCAACTTCTTGATATACAAGTTTTTCTACAGCTGGTGATACTGGATAAAATCGCTGTTTGACTGGTTTACCCTTACCGATATCAATATCGTGTTCTAGTAAAGATGTTCGCCCTAGGCCTTGAATTTCAAAATTTGGAAACAATTTTACTACTGACTCTAGCTGATGTTGTTGCTGCATTGTCAATGGATATTTATGTTCTTGACTCGCCTCTTTTGTAATGAGTGTGTCTGTTTCGAGACTAGCGACTACACTTGGAACCAAATTAAATTCTTTCCAAAAGTCTATTCCCAATATAACCCTTTTGTTCAATGATGGAATGACGAAGAAGTTCAAATCTCTTTTAAGGTTATTGTACGTAATGGTAACTCTAAGTTTTCCTACGATTTCATGTCCTTTTCCGTCTGCTGTTTTCACCTGTCCCACAATCCGTTTAAAATCTGAGTATTTTGACCAATCTTTTGTGGCAAGATCGGATCCGACACAGCTAATGTTTGCTCCGGTATCTAGTAAACCGAGCTCTTGAAAATCTAGAAAGGAAACTTTAGCGTAAAGTCGCCCATCTTCTTTGCAATCTAAAATTGACGATATAAGCAATTTTCTGGTAGTTTTCACCTCGTTCCAAAACTTCCGCGCTCTTTGCGTAGATAATTTATTCTTTTCTGAATTCTTAAATATTCGTTCTCGCGTTGTTTCGTAATCTTTTAGCCTTTCATGATATGGCCTAACATGACGATGACATCCCTGAATACGACTTTGAATTTTATTCGTTTCGAACTTTTTCCTATCTGGTATTAAAATTGTCATATCCGGTGAATGTTGTTGTTCTGCTGGTTGTGGTTTTAATTCTGCCTCTTTTGGAACGACCACCTGCACAAAACGAGTACTATTCTGATCTACTTCGGGGCCATACGACGATCTTGATCGAATGGACCCTTCTTCGGGTTTTCCGACTTTCGACTAAGACAAACTGCACACTGCGGCTTATAAACGTTCTTCTGACCACATCCATAGCAGAAAATTGTTCTTACTTGAGCACACATGTCCCAACAATGTCCTTCCTGTTCACAGTTCCAACATTTTAAGATACGCTTTGCCAACTGCACCGCATCTATTTCTCCTGGTACGCTTTCAAAATGCTCTTGTTCCATTTCCAGTTCTGATACTTTTTTCTGCTTCCCAAATCTATCAAAAATCTTGTTCTGAGACTTCAATCCCGCTTGTTCTGCTATCAAATTTTCTCTCATGCGACACATCTTTCTTAATTGACCCACGGATGAAATTTCTTCAAACAAAATCTGATGTCGAATTTCCATACGAAGATTTCTAATGAGAATTTTGATGAGGCGCGATTCTTCCAGCGGTACTGTCAACCGTGTTGCAATACTCATGACATCATCGTAGTAATCATCAAAGCTTTCTCCAACTTCCTGCTTTCTAGCCCTCATCTCTTCTTCGGTCTCATCGTCTGTACGTAAATCCACGTATTGTCGTTTAAGTGCCGTACAGAACTCCTGCCATTCGATCACGACGACTTCTTTGCGATATTGCCAATACCAATCTCTCGCTTTTCCTGCAAGCAGAATGTGTAGGTTTCTACAGATGGCTTTAAAATCACTACTAAGACAGTCATGCGTAAAAGCTCGAAGTCTGTATAAAAACTCTTCAACCGGTAGACCTTTTGATGCACCATCAAACCGTAAACTCCAATTTTGAATTAGATGAGTGATCTTTTCTGGACTCAAAGTACAGATTGATCGATTGTTTCCTCTGCTATCCCTATTAACTTCCCTAGGGTTACTGTGGACCGAATCTCTAGCTTCCGTCGTATTATGAGCTGCCGACGGTGAATTTTCTACGGACCTTCCTGCTAGTTTCGCCTCGATTATTGCTTCCAGACTCTCTAATAGTGCCGACCAATTAGTACTTCCGAAGCTAACTGAACTAGTCACCGAGTGGTTTACACTATCCCTTTCTTGCCTGTTCGGTAAATCTAAACCTTGGGTATTACCTAGAGGATTTTCTTGACTAGCTATGGCCTGTGCTTTTGCCTGTTTAGCCGGTCGTCGTTCCCTATTAGCTAAGTGTTTTTTCCTTAGTTCCTTTCCTACTCCTTTTTCCAAGTTCCTATTTCCAGTGCTCCTCGTATTATATCCTTTCGGAATGGCTCCTGTTGGCGGCGGTGGATTACTTGTCGTACCCGTTGCCCTTGTTCACCCGAACCCACTTGGACGGCTTTAATGTCTCTAACACTAATCAATTTCCTACAAACTTGACATTCCTTATGCTCCTCAATATGCGGTACAATGCAATTCCGATGAAAGAGGTGATCGCAGGGAGTTACACCGCACTGTTCCTCTGCTACGATGGCTTTCTTGCAAATATTGCAACGATGTTCCACTTCGAATATCCTTGTGTCGTCCATAGGTTGTTCCCGACCCGCTCTGGGACTATGTTCAACAATTGTTCTATTCATCGTTTCTTTGGGATGAATTTGTAACAAAATGTAATATAAAAAAAATTTTTTTTTTCTTTTTAAACGTTTGAATAATTTTTTTCTAATTTTATAAAATATTTCCTATCCGTAACGATCCGAAAAAGAGTTCAAACATATGAGTTAGGTAATCGTCTAGTTCAATAAACCAAACAAATTAAAAAATTTGTTTTCCAGGTGCATCAATTCAATAACCCTATGTTAATTACGCCAGCTATTGATCGTACAATCTCGGATGCTGTTACCAATGAAATTGTATTCGACTCAATGCTACCCCAACCACATGCCATGTTAATGACCCGACAAAATTCCTAAGATCATCCAACTTTCCAAGAGACTAACCTCGCTGCTTCAAGCTAACACCTGTTGACCTAGTTCTAACTGGAATCAATCCAATTGTAGAATTCTGAGTCAACCTGTTGTGTAAGCTCGCCACAAGGTATTCTCAAATAGTTGGTTGGTATTTAATCCCGTGAAAGCCAGTTCACCCTTTCGATGCTCGGACTAACATTCGGTACCATCTTTGATCCATAACAGTTGTATACAGGAACATCAAAAGCAGTTAACTCGCGGTAGATTCTCGGTCCCGCCAACAATCTGTTTCGCCAGTCAATGCTACTTGATCCCTGGACACGAAAAGGAAAAATTTTGTTTTTCACCATAAAGCTGGAACTGAAAATGAAGCACTAATTCAATCCCTAGTCTATCTAGGCTCTTGAGCTTAGCTGCCCCACGTTGGGCGCCAAAATATGTAATGTACCAAACCCCTCTATGCATATAGCACAGTGCAGACCGTAGCGTGAGGCCGGTCTTAACGTTGGACGTTCCCTGAGTATCCTGTTGGCAGTGAAGAAGGTCGATGGGACACAACTAGCAAAACAGCCTGTGGGGGGGTTCTTGACCCATTCCATCTCCAACCTCAGAGTACACATTTAATAATGTCCCTTGCCTTAATGTTTACTTTCATCGATCAACGCAATGCAAAGTGCAACGCGACTCACAACGAATGAAAAATGATTAACTTTGAACCAGACTCTACTCTCTTCAATTTCTCACTAATACACCCATTCCACTGAGATGTGTGGACCGTGAGTCTGCTTGATGGTATGCAGTAACGCGTCTCAACCCTCCCGACCATTGAGCTTTTCTGCGCGCAATAAATATTTGAAAAAACTCCCAAAAACGATATCTCTTCTCTCTCTTCTTCTTCACATTACTTCAAGGAAATATTAATTATTTTATTTACTCCATAATTTTTACACAAAACTTAATACTTGAAACCATTACCTTTAATCTTCATAACTCATTTAATAAGCCAACACCACTTAAATACTTCATAATAATATTCTTTTGCTTTCATAACTAGACTTTTATACCCTATTTTCATTATTATTGCTCAAACAATTCCTTTGATAAATTCTATTCTTACTAATTTTTAATCTCGTTGCTTTTGCTCATATTCACTTTCACATATACAACCGCTGAAAAGAAGTTTTAATTAAATAATAACATAATATATAAAAACTAATAAGAATATAGAAAAATCAATTCAATGCAAATATATCATAAGGGGTTAAGGTTTTCTTGTATCAAAGTGAAACCAATAAAACGAGGAAAGTCAGCAAACGCAAAATCAAAACAAACACGCAAAAAATCGGTGCAGGTGCTTTGCGGATTGCATCGTTATCTCTGTTAACTCTCTTTCTTCACCTCTTCTTTCGATCGCACACTCTATCTCACAGAGACGGGTATGTCGGTTTCCACGCTTTCTTTTACATGGTTAATTTCTTTTGGTTTTTATTGGTTGTTTTTATTCGGTCTGTTGGACTCACCCAGATTTATCGTAGAAGGCCTTCTAGAAGATCGGTTTGATTTTTTTTTTTTTGATTTTAGGTAATTAGTTTGGGGTGATAGAGCATTACAAGTCTCGCTTCACTGGGTTATTTTCACTCTGCCTTTTCACTCACTTTGCATGTCTTAGTTACTTTACACTTTATTCTTTTGTCCGGTTGTACATGTGTTGGTGATCTTGAACGTGCCTATTCGTTTACATGTCTTCTTTTTGATGTAATTGCGAATTTCTTTTACTCAACCCTAAATTTTCACTAATTCACTAATTGCTGCTGCTTCGCCTTCTTCTGCTTGTCTCCGGTATTCCGTTTTCCAAACGTTCTGCTCCGGTCGTTAACCCTGCTCTCCCGCTAATGTCAATCGAACAAACTCAGACTGCGCATATGTAACGTTGCTGCGGCTGCTGGTCTGCCAAAGAAAGTTGCGTCGGGGAGCTCGGCCCTTTCCACGGGTTCTTCTGCCCCTGACTTGACCCTGATCTGGTCTATGAGGAGAGGTTAGGTCAGAAAATTGTCTTGGACTATAAAAACCCCTTATTTCTCACCTTTTTCTTTATTTTCCTTCGCTATGTTTTTGTTGGGCACAGCAATGTTTTAAAAGCGCCTGCTTTGAACCAAAATCTGTTCTGGAATACAGTCTTATAAATTCCATGTGACTCCCTACAATCTTCCACGAAATATTTACCTGGCCGAACTATAGACCACTTTCAAAACAATTCTTTTCGAAGATTTATTTAAAATTCCCACGGATGCCTTAAATATTTCGAGATTGCTCTTTGAATATTTAGGACTTATACTATTAGCCTGGGTTAAGCGCGTAATTTAATTTCGATACGAAAAATTAGGTCTGGTCAGTTACGCTGGTACGATCAAATAGGAAGAGAAAATTCGCTGAGCTCGACAAGAACCTATTCTCGCTCCACTCAAAACGATCGAGTTTACGAGCTTTCTTCCCAGCTGACTGTGTTGTGAAACTCGCGAGTGTATCTCCTAACGTAATGAGCTTAAATTTCCCGCCGCCAAATCAATTAATACGGAATTCTACGAAAAATTAAAAACCAAATTTTTCTTTTTTTTTTTTTTTAAAAATACACCAAAAACCCGCCGTAGAAGTCTGGCAACATAACGAGCACGCAAGTCCAACCCACCTTCGGGCCCGTAGAACAATTAAACATAACATAACCGGGTAGAATAATAATACATAAGAATAAAGAGACCCATTAAAATGAAAAGAACCAAAAAGTGTTGCGATTTCTTTTTTTGTTGGTGGGGCACCCCCCCTTTCCCAGTTAGAATCCAAATTATTCTGTAATTGGCCCCGTCCCCCTTTCTTTGACGCGATTTCTTGGTGTAGTGGCGCCTGAAGCAGCAGAACCAAATTTAAAATTTGTCGGAATCGATAGAACTCGTGAGCAAAGCGGTTGGAATCCCGAGGAATCGGAATAAAACATGATTGTCCGCAGCTCATCCATTTTCGCTGGTGTGTCACTGTCGGAAAAGTACGGTGCCGAAAACTTTGAACTGGTGCCCAGCTCAAGAAAGCCGCATCAGGGCGAGATCGGACGATCTCTACGCTAAATTTCTGGAGGAGCGGCCAACGCGACTCTCTCGCTCTCCAGACCCTGGTTCCGAGCCACAGTAAGCCGATATACGCAGCGGCGAGGAACCAGCTCCCATAAGGGAAGCGCTCTGCAAACGCGCCCTGACATGAATACCTAAGGAGGAGCTCCTATATGTGCGTCGAACAAGAATGCGGATTTAATTCGTTTCGTCTGCGTCGAGCCCGAGTGGATGCTTCAGATTTCTGTTTCGTCTCTCCGCCTGGGATTGGGCAAGAGCCACTTCTCTCTGGTAACTCTGATGCCACCCCTAGCGCGGGTAGCTTCTTTCCGCTCGGCGAGATTCCGTAGGCAATTTGAGCCTGGCAGCGTGCGTCGCCAATCCGGACATCGTCCCTAACCTCGACGATCCGAAAGAGATCTTCCAAGGAAGCGTGCGCCAAACCGGCTCGCCTACGTGCATGCGTGGGTTGACCTGGAGATGGGCGTACCGCCATAGCATTGGATATATTGTTGTATAAGTCTATTTTTCCACTGAATTAGTACGCTTCTCGTGTAAGAGACAAAAGACATGCGCGATTTCTTTGTATGCTGTGGACCGTAGAGGAGAATCCATTAGGATTGTTGGGTACACGACCCCAGACCGTTTAACCGTGGAGAACCACACTTTGTTTCAGCAACCACGTCGGAAGATCGATCTTTCGCCGAGGGATGTTCCAGTATCGAGTGAGTGAACAAATGTAAGAGTCCCATGTGTAACCCAGTAGATTTGAATCGCCAATTAGGCGTTAACGTGACCAATCCTACAGTGTTCTCTCTATAAGTCCAGCGCGAATTCGTTTATAAACCTTAATCTCTCGTAATTATTGAGAATAGACCGTGCTTTTGAATCTGGTTCGGCCTCGAAGCCTTGAACAGTTTGACTGATCGACAAGTCACGAATAAAATCAAACGATATTAGCTTAAAGCAAGAATAATTCCTGAATTCCAAATGATCCTAATTTTAAACTTCAGTTAAGTGAAACAGAACGCGAAAAGTCTGAAATTTGAAAACCGAACTAATGATTAATAGAAAATTCGTAGAAAGTAAATATTCCCTTTGTAGTTTATACCTCTTTATCATATATTACACTGGTCAACACGATTTTTCCTCAAGGAACAAAACCAACTTTTTATTAAAGATTTGGGGCTTAGAAATGGTTTGATGTTATTTTTTATTTTCTATGGCAGAACTTTTTTTTGAAAAATTTTTGAAAATTGGTATTTTTTTAAAGCTTTTTTCAGAGGTAGCGATAGTTTTTTTCACATAACTTTAGTATCTTACGTCTGGTTGTAAAGAACTTTGCTATTTTGAAAAGGTAATTAAAACAGCTAGAAGTTAAGCCCAAATACTTTGTGATTTCAGCTTACCGTCTGAGAAATATAAAGCATTGAAATGCAAAAATGATGATTTTTGTGCGGTATTTTTTACGAAATTTTGACTTTAAAAACTCAGGAAAAGTCGGAAAAAAATTATATGTTGTGTCGTCTATTTTTTTTGTATAGGTGCGTTAATTTGGCGTCGATTAAGGTATCGCTCATTAAAATCTATGGAGAGACTTTGGAGCTAAAGTTCGTTAAGCAAACCTAAAAAATGGAAAAAATGAACAAAAAATGAACAAAAAATACCATTTTGCACCTATACACAAAAAAATAGAGAACACAGAATATCATTTTTTTTCGACTTTTCCTGAGTTTTTAAAGTCAAAATTTCGTAGCATTGTTTTGTCGTACGCACGCTAATTCTTGGAATTTTCTGATCATACTATCGTGAGCGATAGATCCGAATGGTTCGCGCAAGACCACCACCCCCGAAACCGACGAGCTAGAGCCGATGAAAACGCCGCCCATGCCATTCGATGACCGTGCTACCTGGCTATCGTCGTTACACGTTACAGATATGATTATGATTAGATAATTAAAAGTGGCGCCCAACGTGGGGCCGTGTCGAGTTAATCCATCACTCAGTAAGACTCGTAGAAGAGAAAATCAGTTCTTTCCCTTTTCTTTCTAAAGTCTTTTGACTTTTCTTTCTAAAGTCTTTTGACTTTTCTTTCCAGTGAAGAGTGGTGCTAAGAAGCTAAGTATTCCCTTCTGGCCACAGGTGACAGGTCCGCAAAACCATTTTATTCACGTGAGGCGACGAGTGTGAAATCAAGCAGTGGAAATACAGGCCGAGAGCAACTCAGGTTGACCGCCTGACCGTGTTTGACGTACCTCGCCGTTGATCGATCTACGATATCAAAGGGAGTTGACTTTATTCTATCCTGTCGCATTGGAACTTAGTGACATGACTTCCGAGGATGTCCTAACCACGATTGAATAGAGGGAACGTCAGCTTTTCCGAGTATGAGGTATTAGAATCGTTTTTCTGAACACGACGAGGAGTGAGAAACGTAGATACCCATAGTCCGGTGCAATTGTGCGATTTAGAGAAGAAGCCTGGAACAGAGCTGACCTCAAGAGGACGATGCCTTGACTTTCCTATAAATTTTATTCGCGAGAATGTTCGGTAGAGAAAAAACGAGAAGGAACGTGTGAGTCGCTTCTGGGGACGCGACTCTACTTATACCCGTACTCAGTCAGTATATACATTTTTGAGCTTATGATTTTTAAGAATTTTAGAAAAAACGAGAAGGAACGTGCGAGTAGCTTCTGGGGACGCGACTCTACGTATACCCGTACTCAGTCAGTATATACATTTTTGAGCATATGATTTTTTAGAATTTTAGAATTAAAAAAAAAATGTTTACATTTTACATTTTTTTGCTACATCTGTTATCTACATCTACATATATTATGTATATTATACATCTAACATGAAGATTGTACATGTACCATTAAGATTCTACATCTCCTCCGCTAGGGGTTGCTCGCGCACAGAACGCGGCAGAGTGTGCGAGCGAGAAAGAGAATCAGAAGCGTCAGCAGCGCTGGAGAAGGAGAGGGAACCAACAGAAAATTAATTTCTTCATTCTGGCTATAATTATGATCCGATCTGATTTAGATTCGGCAATCTGGTAGATATGGGCATTCTCTACGATACTGCGTTTTTAGTTTTATCGTATCTTTAAAATTGTGCCTGCCACAGATTTTCGTCCTTTGTGGGGGCGGAAGGGGGCGGGGCGAAATTCTGAAATACACTTGTAGCAGTGTGATATCACATGAGTGTGGAAACCAAATTTGGTTGCCCTAGCTCTTATAGTCTCTGAGATCTAGGCGCTCATCGAGACAGACAGACAGACAGACAGACAGACAGACAGACAGACAGACAGACAGACAGACGGACAGACAGACATGGCTCTATCGACTCGGCTATTGATGCTGATCAAGAATATATATACTTTATGGGGTCGGAAAATTTTCCTTCTCTGCGTTACACACATCCACTTTTACCACAAATCTAATATACCCCTTAACTCTTTTTTGAGTACGGGTATAAAAAAAATTTTACATTTTACATTTTTTTGCTACATATGATATCTACATCTACATATACAATGTATATTATACATCTAACATGTAGATTTTACATGTTCCAATTAGATTCTACATCTCCTCCGCTAGGGGTTGGTTGCGCACTGAACGCGGCAGAGTGTGCGAGCGAGAAGGAAAATGAGTTTCGTAGTCGTTTGTGGGTGGGTGGGCAGGGAAGCAACTGAAAATTAATTTCGTCATTCTGGCTATAATTATGATCCGATCTAATTCAGATTCAGCAGTCTGGTAGATATGGGCATTCTCTACGATACTGCATTTTTAGTTTTATCGTATCTTTAAAACTGTGCCTGCCACAGATTTTCGTCCTTTGTGCGGGCGGAAGAGGGCGGGGCGAAATTTTGAAATACACTTGTAGCAGTGTGATATCACATGAGTCTGGAAACCAAATTTGGTTTCTCTAGCTCTTATAGTCTCTGAGATCCAGGCGCTCATCAAGACGGACAGACGGACAGACGGACGGACAGACGGACATGGCTATATAGACTCGGCTATTGATGCTGATCAAGAATATATATACTTTATGGGGTCGGAAACGTTTCCTTCTCTGCGTTGCACACATCCACTTTTACCACAAATCTAATATACCCCTTAACTCTTTTTTGAGTACGGGTATAAAAAACCTACGATTCGTGAACCGAAAAGCATGAGTTCAGTTAAATTAAATTAGTTTGGTATTAGAGTATTCTGTAATAAGGATATCGTCAGTAGTACGGAGATTAGTATTTCTATTTAGAGCCATTTTAAAAGTTGTTAATTAATTGGATAAGTAGAGAAGTCTGAGTGACATTAAAAGTCGAGATGGGGCTGGATAGATCTCCGGAAAGAGACACCGAGGAAGCTAGTGGGAGTACTAGTACACTGTGTGGTCTGTGCCGAGAGGCAATAAGAAT